CAAATGTAAGGAGAAGTTCATTTACCTGTTTTTATGTGCTAAGTTGACAGACAGAAGCTTTTTTATTTGTACTTGCTTGTAACTTTCTCAGTTCACTTGATGGTGTGTTATGGGCTCATTCCTACGTGTGAATATAGATCCCCTCATTCTTTTCACCCCTCCTGTGTTGTAGTCCATGATACAGATGTGCCGCAGTTGATTTACCTGTTCTCCATTAACAGGCATTTAAATTTTCACCTGGTTTATTCTACCACCACTTGTTTCTGAGTATACTAATGTACTTTTCTGGGTGTATCTTTTCAGTGAATCCCTAAAAGTATGACTGCTGGTCAAAGGATATTCGTGTTTCAAAACTTCCATGTAATTTTAAAAACATTTTAAAAGATTACTAAGGCTTAGTATATAAATGTTTTAAATGATAATTCTAGAATCCTGCTCCCCTTCACACCTTAAGGGAATGTTGCAGTTAGTCTTCTCTTCGTAGTGTAGTTTGTGACTGGAAATAAATTGTACACTTTTAGGACGTTAGTGCAGGAAAGGTTTATGGTGTGAGCTAAGGTTCTGGTCATCTTGTCTGACTCCTTTTTTCAAGTGGAGATACAATTCATGTTTAACAAAGAAATTACCATTTTCAAATGGATTCAGTGTTTTAGTATGTTCACACGGTTGTACAACCATCATCATCTGTAACGCCATAGTATTTCTGTCAGTCCCAATTTTTCCCTTTCCCCTGATACCACTTAGTGTCTCTGTGAATTTTCCGAGTTCAAACATTCCATATAAATGGTACCGTTCAGTATGTGGCCTTTTGGGACTTGCTCCTTTTATTTCGTATTATGTTTGAAGGCTCATCTATGTTGTTGCATGTAATAATTCTTCACTCCTTTTTATGGCTTTATAATCTTCCATTTTATGGATATACCATATTTTGTTTACCACCTTTAGTTGGCAAACCCAATAAATTGGGGTTGTTTTTACTTTGGGGATATTACAAATAAAGCTGCAATGAACATTTGTGTCCCAATTTTTGTGTGGTCATGTGTTTTCAGTTCTCTTAGCTAGTATAATTGCTGGATCATGTTGTAATTCTGTATTTAACTTTTTTAAGGACCCTCCAAATCATTTTTCAAAGTATTTGCACCATTTTGTATTCCTGCCAACGTGTGTGGGTTCCAGTTTCTCCACTCTCTCGCCAATACTTGTTTTGTTCTGTTCTGTTTTACAGTCATCTTAGTGGGTGTTAAATGATATGTCATTTTGCTCTTCATTTGCATTTCCTTAATGACTGATGATACTGAACATCTTTTCATATACCTCCAGGTCATTTGCAATATTTTTAGATAAATGTCTATTCAAGTCCTTTGTCCATTTGTTAATTGTGTTGTCTTTTTACTGAACGGTGAAAGTTTGTTATATATTCTGGCTGTTAGAACATATCACATGTATGACCTATAAATAATTTCTCCAATTCTGTGAGTTGTTTTGCTATTTGATACACAAAAGTTAAATTTTGACAAAGTCCCAATTATTTTATTTTGTTGCCTGTGCTTTTGTAGTCTTAAGTAAGAGTTTTATTGTTTTAGCTCTGACTTTAGGTCTTTGATCCATTTTGAGTTAATATTTGTTTATGGTGTAAGATAAGGCTTCAAATTCATTCTTTGCATATCTAGATCTCTATATATAAATATAGAGATATAGATATAGATGTATATTACCAATTGTTGATAAGACTGTTCTTTTCCTATTGAATGTCCCTAACACCCTTGTGAAAAAGCAATTAAGTGCACATATGTGGGTTTATTTCTGGACTCTAATTTGTATTTCATTCATATTCCAATCAGTATGTCTATTTTTATGCCAACACTATACTGTCCTAATTTATGTAGCTTTGTAGTAACTTCTAAAATGTGGAAGTGTGAGTCCTCCAATCTTATTCTTCTACTTCAAGATTGTTTTAAAATCAACTTGTTCATTTCTTCAGTTGGAATTGTAATAGGGATTGCATTGAATTTGTAGATAAATTTGCGGACTGTTGCCATCCAAACAGTCTTCAAATCCTTGATGTCTTTCCATTTATTTAGATCTTCAATTTCTTTCAGCTGTGTACTATAATTTTCACTTGGCAAGCTTTACACGTCTTTGGTTAAATTAATTACTAAAGTAGGTTTTTTTTGTTTTGTTTTTTGTTTTTTTTTAATATTACTGCAGCTTGAACTCAGGGCTTCACACTTGCTAAGCAGGTACGCTACCACTTGAACCACTCCATGAGCCCTCATTTATTCTTTTTGATGATATTGTAGCTAATTTTTTTCTTAGTTTTATTTTTAGATTCTTCACATTACTGACTACTGATTTTGTCTATTGATCCTGCATCCTTCAGCTTTGCTAAAGTCATTTTTAGCACTAACACTTCTTTTAGGTTTCTCTGTGTAGATTTTCTGTATGTACAAATATGTCACCTGTAAATTACCCAATTGCCTTGTGAGAACCGTTAATACATCATTTAATAGAAGTGGCAAGTATAGGCATCCTTGTCTTCTTCCTGATTTTAAGCAGAAAGTATCCAGACTTTCATCAAGTATGTTAGCTCTAGGCTTTTTACACACACACACACACACCCCTCTTTTTTCAGGTTGTTAACATTTTCTTCTTAGTCTGTAGCATATTTTTATCATGAAAGCATATTGGAGTTTGTCAAATGCTTTCTCAGCCTCTTTGATTTGTAGATTAGGCTGCAGGCCATATTTCCTTGTCTTTGGATGGTTCCAAGACCGAGTTCCGGTCTTGGTTATTACCCTGGCAGTCCTCACTATACATGTGGTTGAAGTGGAGCTTGTGGTAGACATCTCAGGGAATCCTCACCTCCTGCCTTTCTTATCCACCCCGCTCACCCTTATAGTGCCAGCCTTCTGCACAGCTGAGGTATGGAAAATGTGACCTTTCTGTGGTCATCTTTTGCCGAGGAAACAGTCTGTCTGCTTACTTTAAAGATTCTGTGGCCAGTTGTCCCCCTGCTCCTGGAGCACATGTGAAAAGGTAGCTGCTTTCCTGACTGCTTTTTACATGTGCCATTGCGCACCTGTGAAGGCACTGCTTGGTGCAGCCTGGTACTGGCACACAAAGGGCTGTTGATGCCAGTTCCTGCCTCACTTCCCCTGTATGTGGGATTTTGTGTGTTTAGCCCTTCTGAAGCCAACCTGTAGTTACCCCTGCACACCTTCCTCCCTCTGCATCTTGTATGGAGCACCTACTTGAGAAAGTGCCTCTCCTGGGCTTCTATTAGCAGTTGCTTGTTGGAAAGATGACCATCTTACAGACCTAGCTTGGACCAGGTAGCAAATCCCTTGCCTTTCAATACTAAAATTAATTCCAGTCAAATAGATGTACTTCTGGTATTTAGCTCTGTGAAAGCCAGGCATGGTGGCATATGCCGATAATCTCAGCACTCAGGAGGCTGAGGTAGGAGGATCAAGAGTTCTAGGCCAGCCTAGGCTACATAATAAGACCCTATCTCAAATACAGGTAAACAAAAAATGCTAATTATGGCGGGCCACCAGGTTTCCAGCACTCAGCTAAACAGTATGTCCTGTGATGTGCTTCTCTATAGAACTCAGGCATACTGGGATCACTCAGATCTTTTTTACTCTTGGGGCTTGAATTCATACTTGCTAAGCAGGTGCTCTAACCCTTGACCCATTCCATCAGTCCTTTTTGCATTGATTATTTTTGAGATAGGGTCTTGCTTGCTTTATGCCCAGGCCAGCCTGGACCACAGTCCTCTTGTTTCCTTCCCTGAATAGTTGGGATAACAAGTGGTCACCACCATACCCAACTGTTGGTTGAAATGGGGTCTTGCAAACTTCTTATCCAGGCTGGCCTCAAACCACAATCTTCCTAATCTCTGCATCTTGAGTAGCTAGGATTACAGACTTGAGCCACTGCACCTAGCCTATTCAAATCATTTTAATAACCACTTGTAAAGCCTCAGTCCTTTTTATCAGTGTCACTTAATGCCTGTTCTCTAAAGCATTTATTTTGTCTGAAAGTCTGAATCAGGAATGTGTTTATAACAAATGGCCCTGTTGAGTTAAATCAGAGCATGCTGTGGTCTGAATGTTTATATCTCCCCCCAATTCATGTTGCAATCCTAACCCCAAGATGATGATGTTAGGAAGTGGGGCCTTTGAGATGTTATTAAGATTATTGGGACAGAGCCCTCATGAATGGGATTAGTGTTCTTATAAAAGAGGCCTCAGAGAGCTCCTTCACCTTCCTACTGAGTGAGGAAACAAGTCTTCATCTCTGAATTAGAAAGCAGGGCCCTCACCAGACAGTGAACCTGCCTTGGTTGGTCATTGCTAGCCTCCTATGTGAAGCTCCTCAGTAGGAAAGCTCTCAGTTCCTAGGTTTTGCACCACTGCCTCCCTTGAAAGTCAGAGCTGTTCTGTAGAGAGGAAGTTACTGAACAACATAGATGGTTACAGTTACCATCTAATTTGAGGTAGCCTGAAAGTGAACAAAGCATGCCTCTGAGGAGTGTTCTTCAGCCTTCCATCCAGTTAGGGACTGATGTCATGTCAGGGATCCCTTCTGGCAGATGGCAGTGTTAAGAGCTCCACCAGCCTCATAACCTTGCTAACTTTGTTGTTGTTGTATTTTTTACCACGTACTAGGATATTTCTTTATTTTGACCCCATAATAATTTGCTTTTTTCCTCCTTGCTTTGGCATATTCAGGAATTTAATTCAAGTCTAAGGGATTGTTTATTTCAAGATGAACTATTTTGGGGAGTAAAATTCCCAACGAAGTCCTTATTGGTGTCTATTTGTTTCTGCTCCTAAATCATTGAATTAAAACTGAGATTTGGCTTGCCTTACAGATGTAGAACTATGGGTTTTGCTGTACCTGAGATCATCAGAAACAGGATGGTGGAGCTACAAGTCCCAAAAGGAAACTTCTCTACTCTTCCTGCCCTCAGTTTTCCCTCTTTTTCTCTCTAGGTTGTGTCGACACTGCTCATAAACATAATCCCAGAGGACTACATTCCACTGAACTTATCTGGAAAAGCAAAAATCAGCGGGAAAGCCTGGGTGAAAGAAACTCCTAAGCCTGTTCCTGGCTTTAACCCTGACTCTATGTGCGAGTCCCAGGTAGGGTCACCCAGCTGTTTGGGTTGGCAGCTTCTATTCCTGCGTATAGACAGATTGATTTAAAACAAGTAGAAATTGGTACCATGCCTCAGAAGAGGAGAGATTTTCCCAAGGTAGTATCCACTTTCATTTTGAAAGGGGTCAGGGTCTGACTGCACCATCTGATCCTCATTATTAAGTTGGAGTCGATTCTGAAAAGCTTAGAGATGCAAAACCCAGGTTTCCCCTCAAAATCTCTTGAGTGGCTCAAGATGATTAACTTGCTATGAGGTCCCAAAACCCCAGTTCTAAGCCTCCAGGACCAGGCTAAGGAGGGTAGGCCAGGCCAGTCACACCTGGGTGCCCTGCTAAAGAATCCCAAGGCCTCTGTGGTTTGGGTGGTGAGTGTCCCTAAGTCTGCAACTCACAGTGTGCTTAGTAACAGTCTTTTTCTCTCTATCTTTGTCATGCTAGGGATCGAACCCAGGGTCTCTTGCCTGCTTAAGTCTCATGCTCTTTACACTGAGCTACACCCATGCCCCTATAACAGGGTCTTAATGGATGCTCCATTCAGATCTGAAGTGTCACTTTTTTTTCCCTTTATGGAGCATATACCTAATGTGTGTTATGTCCTGCGGCTATGAATTCTTTTCTTTTAATTAGCTTCTAAGACTTGGTGAAAGTACAAATTCAGGCCTTGGAATATGCTTTAAGAAAAGATTTTATTATTCTTACACCCAAGGTGCAAGATGAGGTGTGCCTAGGCCAAAGTTGAAGCTTTGGATGCTCTCATTTGCATTCCCAAGGTCTCAGTCAAGGGTGCTCGACCTCAAATGTGGGTGGGTGGGAGAGCAGAGGGACATAAAGCCGCACTGAAATGTGTGGGAGTTTAGATTTACAAGATGTATAGTCCCAGAAAAAGCAGTTAAAACTGTATGTACTCTCCTTTATTTAAAGTTTATCTCAGTTTCATGTGTTCCCTACTTTTTTCTATGAAGGGCTCAAGGCAGGTCACAGTAGAGGCACACACAGTGAAGTTAAACGTCAAGGAGGGAGGATAGCTTCCCAAGGAGATGTCATCTGCAGCCTGGCATTAATGCCCTTTCCCTGTGCAGGTGATCATCAGGGAAGGGGAGCTTCTCTGTGGAGTGCTGGACAAGGCACACTATGGGAGCTCCGCCTATGGCCTGGTCCACTGCTGCTATGAGATCTATGGGGGCGAGACCAGCGGCAAGGTTCTTACCTGCCTGGCCCGCCTCTTCACCGCCTACCTGCAACTCTACAGAGGCTTCACCTTGGGTGAGTACCAGGCCTGTGGTCCCAGCTGCTGACCTTGGGGGACCAACTAGGCTCCTTCTCCAAAGATATCTGGCTTCGCTTCCTTTTCGTTCTGTCCACCTGACCTTACAGCCTGTGTTTCTTCCTCCTCCACAATGCACAGCAACCCCCTCCAACCCCATTCTCATCCTGTCACTTTCTTGACCCCACTCTTTATCCTCATACATGTCCCCATTCTCTCCTGCAAGTACCTTCAGGAATTCCTGAGCCCTCCCTATTCCACAGAGGGGCTTCCTTGTTGTCAGAACTGCCCATATCTTTCCAACACAGTGGGAAGTGCCAGCACTTTTGGAAACACCACTTGGCAGACAGGTGGGAGTGATGCTAAGATAGGAAGAGGGGCCTCCTTGTTTGCTGTTGGAAGTGAGAGCACTGTTTTAGGTAATTGGCTTTGATGTACTGCTGCCCAAGGTGAGCAGTTTCTCAACTCTTTGAGCCAGAGGGCTTAAATGAAGCAACTCAGGCCTTTCATCCTCCTAAGGCAGTGCTGAGGAAACTGACGTGATGGTCCCTATCACCTAGACTTGACATGGCCATGTGTCTACAAACACACAGAATTACACAGGTGGCCTCTCTGACGTGGCTCTCAGAAGCCCAAACTGGATACTCTTCCCCTCTCTTCCTTCTCTGAATTTAGCTTTTCATCCAAAAGTTCATCATTTCTAGCTCTTTCGTCCCACACAGATTTTTGGGTGAACTCAGGCCTGGGCTTACTTTGTATCTGTGTAACTTTGGGCAAGTAACTCAATGTTGAGCCTTAGTTTTAACACTTATAAAATGGGGATTATAGTCTTAAGAGATGGGGGTGATTAATGGTGTTAATATCATTATCATTGTTCTGGTACTTCTTGTATCTGTGGCATACTCCTCGGATCCTGAGTATCACCAAATTTAGAGTCTGGTGAAGTCAGACCTTGTCCCTGCTGAGCTTGACTGTTTTACTTCACAGGCGTGGAAGACATTTTGGTTAAGCCGAAGGCAGATGTCAAAAGACAGCAGATCATTGAAGAATCCATCCACTGTGGGCCCCGGGTAAGGAGGGGCTGGGTGGCCAGGGTACAGCATAAAGGGATCTTGTGTCCTACAGAATGAAACCCACACCCTCCTCATTTGACTCATTTGACTCTGACGTGTTCCTTTCTTCGCTCTAGGCTGTCAGGGTTGCATTAAACCTACCAGAAGCTGCATCATGTAATGAGGTCCGAGACAAATGGCAGGATGCCCATCTGGGAAAAGACCAGAGAGATTATAACATGATTGAACTGAAGTTCAAGGAGGAAGTGAACCATTACAGCAATGAGATTAACAAGGTTAGCCCAGCAGTGCATGCACTTATCCCCACCTTTTTGAATGCTGATTTTTTTTTAAAAATTACATTTTGATTCTCACCCAGGGCCATTTGGAGCAGTCTGACTATTTAAAAGTCAACTAACTAGGTGAGATTTGAAGTGGGATAGGTAAGATTCATCATTCTGAAGAGCCCAGGGCTCATCCAGTTAGGATCTGGAAAGGCTTCAGGTTAATGCTAAAAGAAAATGCTTTGTACTGGCTTTCGTTTTAAATGTTTTCATTTTGGAGTTAACTACATTGAAGAGCTCTAAAGAAAGAAATGTTTCCTATGGGCCACTGCAGGCAGAAGAGCAGAATAAAGGGCTAAAATCACTACTCCCTCTTACACGACAGAACCAGGGATGAGGCCTGGCTTCAAGTCCTGGTTGTGTTTCATACTTGCTATGTGACCTTGGGCAAGTGATGTGACCAGGCTGTGTGTTCATTGATTTCCTCACCTGGATGTGTAGTATTTGAGGAGCACTGCCTTACAGCATTGTTGGGATTGTCTGGGAGCTCACATGCAGTGCCAATCCAGGCCTGAGGTAACTGAGAAAGGAGAGCCTGCATGAGCAAGATGGAAATCTGGTTCTCTCCACACTGCACCCAAGAACTGGGACTCCCTGTCCTGTGATTTGGAGGGGCCAGACTGCCCTCACCCTGCTTCCTGGGCCTTGGGACCCAGACTAACAAGGAGAGGAGGAAGCAAGGCCAACAGTCAACAAAAGTCAAGAGTTTGTGGAGTCTTCTTCCTGGCTTTCAGCATCCCTTCTGCTGTTAAGAAGACGGAGTTCATCCCTGAGAGGTGTTATTCAGAAGAACCTTCCCAGCAGTGCAGGGAAAGCAGGCAGCTCCATTGCCAGGGCTGACTGAGGGTGCTAGGGTGAGGAGGTTGTCTTTAGAAGCATCTCAAAATGGCTTCTTGTCCTCCAGTTCCTCTCTTCCTGCCCCCTCTTCCTACCCAGGTTCCACCTCTCCTGTGTCAGGATGGCTCTCTGGAACCCCAGGCAAAGGCCTAAACCAGAGTCCTCTCTCATCACCTCCTTAAGATTCCTACCCGGTGCTTGGTGATGTGCTGGTAAATGTGGACGTGGTGTGGACTTCATTAATCTGAGTCTGGGGAATCCAGGCCAGGCTCTTGGGCATAACTTTAATTTTATTTTACTCAGCTCCTTTCCAGAAACATAAACTGGATCTCTCGCTCTCTCTCTCACTCACTCACTCACATAAGCACATGCACATGCACACACACGCGCACACATACACATATACCGCATTTCCTTTTCATCTTTCTTTTTGCCACCATTTGGCCAGCAAATGGAACCTGTGGCTCCTGGCAGAGGTTGTGTTCAGTATAGCACAGAAAGCAGGGACTCTAGTGAAAGGTTGATGCCAAATGAGGCTTTCACTTACCTTGAATGGAATTTGACTCTTAGCTGTAGATAACTACTCTGGCTTTATTGCTTCTGCATCCTGAATTTACCTGGAATTTCCACAGTGGGTGAAGTCACTGACATAGTGTTTTGATTTAATCCACAGGCATGCATGCCTTTCGGCCTACACAGACAGTTCCCAGAGAACAACCTGCAAATGATGGTGCAGTCAGGAGCCAAAGGTTCAACTGTGAACACGATGCAGGTGTGAGCAAAAGTGGCTTAGCCGGTTTGCCGGGGATGGCTGGTGGCAAGAGGAAGTTTTCAGGTTCATTGTTGATTTTAAAAGGATTAGAATTCTGTATAAAATATGACAAGGACTAAAAAATACAAAAGCATATAGAAATCAGTACAGGTGCTAACCACTGCTGTTGACATGTCAATGTTGTACACTGATTATAGATAGAACATACAGGCAGGATATAATGTAGATATATATTATAAACTTTTATGTTTAGTTATTATATTGCATCTATTCCTGTTACATATGCACACTGTGTATGTAAAATCTCAGCTGAGATCCTATTATGTTGTGTGACCTACTTTTTTCACTTAATATTACATTATAAGCATTGTCCTAAAGATTACCTAGCCTTTAATTTGAGGCCTGCTATCTCAGATTTCTATGGTGCTATGGAGGCATTTTCACAAATCTTAGCATCTGTTGTTTTTTCTTTCTTTTTTTAATCTTGATGACCTTTAGAGGGTCTTAAGGATCACCCTATTGTTCCATGAGTGACAAGCAGTAGGAGTGGTCTCGAAAGGCTGGAGACCCTCAGGAAGCTAAATAAAGGGAAATCTAGACACATTGCTTTCTTTTTCCCAATAGTATTCACAGGCAGTTTTCTAAGAAGACACCTCAATGGCTCGAGTTCTCTCAATGTCTGTAGGACACAAGGATCACAATAAATTCCTTTTTCCTGTGGCCTCCATTTTCCAATTAGAACCTTTGAGTCCCTTCCAAGAATAATGTGACAATGATAAGACATGGCTTCTTTTCCAAATATCACCTGATTTTAAATGCTTCCAAATGTGAAAATCCAGTTCAGTCAACAAAAGGAAGACACATTTGTTATGTGTTTTTTTGTTGTTGTTTTTCTTTCTTGAAACATGGCTTCCCTGGTTTGTTTAAATGTCTAGGTTGACCTTTTAGAAATCAGTTTCCACTGGCTTTTCTTAAAGAGCAAGCTATCTCTTACCTGCTTGCACAAAGCATTGTTTAACACACACAGGAATCATGAGTTTCATTTTGTTTCCTTTCGCCCAGATCTCTTGTCTACTGGGCCAGATTGAGTTGGAAGGTCGAAGACCACCACTGATGGCATCGGGCAAATCACTACCCTGCTTTGAGCCTTATGAATTCACCCCCAGGGCTGGTGGCTTTGTCACTGGAAGGTTTCTCACTGGCATTCGGCCTCCTGTATGTATATTTTTTACTTTTGTCATTTCTAGGCTCAGTGGTATTAGCGACTTTGACCAAGAATGATCAAGTGATAAATACCAAGTCATTTGCATCTTACCCAGTAGACCCTAGGGCCCATGTAAAGTTCACCACTACAGAGCTAGCACAGTGCTAACATGGCATCATGCTCCGTAAATGTATGCTAGTAAATGAAAAGATGCATAGGACTGACCTTGGCCCCACCTTTTTCTGCTGTGTGACCTCTCTAAATCAGTTCTTAGCTCATTCGAAACAGCTAGAAAAGGGATGCCAAGAAGAGCATCATGGAGATTAGTTTCACAAAGTCTCCCTATCCTGACTCCTTCACGGCAAAATTGAGGAGCTGTTGCAGATGTCTAGTTTTGCTTCCTCAAAAATTCTCCCCTAGGAGAAGGGTTTCTCCTCACACTTGTCAGAAATGGCTCTTTGGATATTAGTGTCTTTTGTTCCTTGATGTATGCATCTCTGAAAGAATGATGCTTGGGACCAGCCCACTAAGTCTCAGGTGTGAATTGTTCCAAGGCCAATGATTACCCTGTGGGCGCCTCCATTTCTCTGCATATGGACTCTCCAGTGGTGGTTCATGGCCTCTGGCAAGGGGTGGCAATGGCTTGATAATAGACCAGAATTTTTCAAATTCTGATTTTGACCCTTAGTGGATCAGGAAATCACAGGAGTGGATAGCGACCAGCATTCCTTTATGTAATGAAACAGAATAGAGTAATAAAGGAAACATCAGATTTCTTCCACCTAGAATGGAATGGGATATTTTTATATCTTCCTATTCATATATGTGCATATATATAAGTATATTTATTTGCATTTGCTGATTACTATTGTAAATGTATTCTTAGTTTGGGTTGCAATCCAGGTGTGGAAAGGCCAGAGTGGTTGGTGCACATCCGTGATGCTGGCTACTCCAGAGGGTCATACCTTTGAAACCATCTTGACCAATATAGCAAGACCCTGTCTCAAAAACCAAAAACAGACAGACAGAAAGTTTTGAAAGTGACATGTAGCTCTGTTGGCACTTTTGGAAGTAGACTGCAGGTGTGGGACTGAACTTGATTTTGGCCAGGTACATTTGCTTTGGAAATGGGACATGTGGTATTTCCCTAAGAATGGCACATATGGATGCAGGGAGGGCACTTGACTCCTATAGATGGGAGCTGTTGCTTCTGATCCACTGTCTCTCCTCAGGCAGGGTAAGCAAGAGATACCAGATGACAGAAGAAGTAACTGGGGGCTTTTGGAGCCATCAAAGCCAAGGGCCCAACACCTGGGAAGGGAGCAGGCTATTTGAAGTCAAGAAAGGCTGCTAGGAATATCAGCTTGAGCAGCCTTCAGAATTGCATGGTGCTCACCACCACCTTTGGGACATGGGTTCCTCTCTCCCACAGGAGTATTTCTTTCACTGCATGGCAGGGCGAGAAGGCCTGGTAGATACTGCTGTGAAAACCAGTCGCTCTGGCTATCTCCAAAGGTAAAAACACCTGTGTGTCTCTGTTAAATGGGTTTGGTGTCCCAGTACTCTGTACCTGTCATCTCTCACTGAAGATCCTTTGTATGGTAAACACTTGTAGAAAACATCATGTATTGTTCTGTAGTACAGCACGGGTTGAGCATGCACTCAGAGGTATACACAACAGGCCCTGTGTTCTTCAGGTCTGCCATCCCCTGTAGGGAATTATGAATGTGGGGAAAGGTGTTCAACAGTGGTGAGCCTCTCTTGTGTCTGAGAGTCTCAGAGGCCCAGGATAACTCAGAGGGCTCCAGACCCAGCGTCCCTACCTGTGAATTTGTAATTGGTATCCTTACTGTCACAGGTGTTATTTTGGGACTCTCTGCCTTAGACCTGCTTGTTTTCTATCCTCTGGCAGGAAGGAGAGCAAGCAGCCTGTAACCAGCCTCATTGAGTTGATAGAGGGTTTGAGGCTTGACTCCAGGGAGCCCAGTAAGACAGGCAGCAGGTCCCCCATGTTCCAGTTTCCCTCTCCTGGATTACAGTGTGGGAGGCTTAGACTTAGGGACTTTTGTAATGGTTCTTCCTGAACCCAAAGAACCTGTGCTGGAAGAAATGTTGGTGGTAAATGGAGGAGATGGTAAATCCCCACACCTCTTAGGCCTGCCTTTAATTTATGTCTTCAAAGAACTCTGGTAACTACTTCCTTCAGAGTTCTGCCCATTGGTTCCAGCTTTGTCCTTTCTTTTATTTATCAGCTTAGATTTCCCAAACCTGCATACCATGTTCTAGTTCCTTCCCCCTTGACTCCTGTGGGCATTGGGGTAGGAAGAGTAAGAGAGAGATTGAGGTAGAGACACACCTGGGTAACCTGTTGGTGAAGAGGTAACCTGCGGAGCTGATCCGGCCCAGCTCCCCTCCTTCGCATGGCTTGAGTTGCATGACCAGTTCCCTCTGTAAACGGGTTACACCTCCATCCCCCCACCCCAAGTCATTCAGGAATACACGTATAATAACAGAAAAATGATCAGAGAAGTCTGGGGATGGGAGAGACCATGTATGAGGCACGAGTCCCCAAGGCCCATTGAAGTCAGGGTGAACAGGAGGAGGGAGTTGGGTATACTGGCTGGAACAGAAAAGCAGCAGTTGTTGGGGCAAAGGTACAAACATCTCTGCAAGGTCCACCTGCCAGCAGGGAACTCTTAAAGCTTGAAGTGGGAAGGACAGTGTTGGGCTTCAGAGAACCTGGGTTGGAGAGACCCTAGCTGGAGGCTGGAGGCTGCCTGCCAGAATGGCAGTGAGACAAGAAGTGGATGTGGGCAAAGCACATGAATGGCAACTGAAGTGCAGGAGAGTTTTCAGGACTGAATGACAGCATAAGTGACCTGGTTGATGGAGAGCAGGATACTATAGAAGAGAAAGAGAAGGTGGATATGAGGTGGCAGCAGCCATCAGGAGAGATGCCTGGTGACGTGGTCATGAGGGGCAGCTGCTGGGGCTCTGAGAGGCCAGCAGAGCATAGGATAGAGGACTAAGACATCAGTGTTTGTGGTGAAAGGTAGGTGGGTATTCACACTACCAACTTGCCAGGCTCTGGGCAGGACAGTATGAAGGCTTGTGACTAACACTGAACTTTGTCCTCAGAGCTTGGGGTGGGTGCCATCAGAGAGGAACCAGGATCCTGGAAAACCCTCTCCTAAGGTAACAGGATAAACTGAGGAATGACCAGGGAGGAAAGCAAAGAGATCAGGACCAGACCAGAAAGCAAGAAAGGGCAATGGAGGTAGCCATCCACAGGAGGACTGAGGACAAAGGCCACTAGATTAGGGATATCATGTCAGCATTTAGTTCCTGATTAATACCTCTTAGACAACACTGTACTGACAGGGTTCAGGAATCCTTGCAGCTCTCCTGGCTTGCCTGCCTATGGTTATAGGGACACTGATCTTTTGGTGCTCTGTGATGGGGAGATGATAGAGGCAAACAGTAAACCCAGTATTGAGGCCACATGAGAACCTGGCTCCAGCAGTGTCTTGTAGGCCTCTTGATCACACTATTGTGGCCTCCTCCTGGAGAACCAACAGGAAATGTAGCTCCTGGCTGGGGAATGCTGGAGCTCAGAGCTGACCTATCCTGGAGTCATGCCTGTCTGTACAACAGCAGTTCCCCTGTTTTCCCCTGCACTGTCCCCTGCTCCTTCAGAGCTGCACTGGAAGGTGTGCACCTGATAGGTGCTGAGCCAGTGATTTCCTTACAGGTGCATCATCAAGCACCTGGAAGGGCTGGTCGTCCAGTATGACTTGACAGTCCGTGACAGTGATGGCAGCGTTGTGCAGTTCCTGTATGGGGAAGACGGCCTGGACATCCCCAAGACACAGTTCCTGCAGTCCAAGCAGTTCCCCTTCCTGGCCAGCAACTATGAGGTAGCGTCAGCCCTGGTGCCCCAGGGTGGGGTACCAAGGCCATGGAATGGGCCTCCCACCCAAGCTTAAAGAATTCAAGCTCTCTGAACTCGAGCCACCCTGTCCACATAGCCAGTGAAAAGTTGAGTGGAAAGGATTTATAAAAGTACCCACCAGTGCCCTGAAACACTTGACATTTTCAGAGCCCCTCTGTGGGCTGTGATCATGTCAGATGGTAGTAGGGCACAAACTTCTGGAGTAACAGTTGCTATTTTAGGGGTGTCACTGTGCTGGGCCCTAAAGGCGAGTGCTGTCTGGGTTCATCCTCACCACAACCCAATGAGGTAGCAGCATTCTGTCCATTTTTCAGCTCAGGCAGCTAAGTGTGGCAACTCAAGTAACCAACTGGTGAGAGGTAGAACTAGCGTTTGAACCCAGGCCTACCTAACACATGATTGTGACTTCTCTCCTACCTTGTGGCCCAGTAATGACCATCACCATTAACTGAACTTTTAGTCACCCCATTTTGCATATTAGGAAACTGAAATTGTTATGACCTGTTCAAGATCATGATGTTGATGGCAGAGTTGAGGGTTGCACTCCAGTGCTGGGTCCTTTCTGTCCCAATGCTTGTCCCAGAACTTGGGCCATCCTCTTCCCCTCTTTCTTTCTTCCCATAATCGCTCCTCAATTTCTAGAGGGGCTCTGAGTATACCTACCTCTCCCGTATGACTCCCAAGACTTTCAGGTCTCATGTCCATTTTCCACAGTGGTGGCTCTTGATTATCAGTTGGTGTGCAGTCCCCCTAAGAGGCAGCATAAGGGCTCCTTGTAGCTTCCTGGGTCCTGTGACATTGTGCAGTGTGGCCCTTCTGTCATGCCCTTACCTTTCATCTTGTGTGTGTGGTTTGTTTAGGTGATAATGAAATCAAAGCATCTCCATGAAGTTTTATCCAGAGCAGATCCCAAAAAAGCTCTCCGCCACTTCAGAGCCATCAAAAAATGGCACAGCAAGCATTCCAGTACCCTACTGAGAAAAGGTGCCTTCCTGAGTTACTCTCAGAAGATTCAGGCAGCTGTGAAAGCCTTGAATCTCGAGGGCAAGAACCAGAATGGCCGCAGCCCAGAGGCTCAGCAGGTGATAAGGGGAGACTGGGTCCCTTCTGACATATCCAGGTCTTAGTTGGGGTAAAGGATATGGGGTTATTCCCTAATATAAGCATGGTGATGAGATCAGTCAGAATGCTAGTGGCACCCAAACGGTAATGTGAAAAAGGGACCTTTTACAATAGTATGGGTAGGTTTGGGGAGAATTACTGGAGCTAATGAATTTGGGGTTCCTTACCACCCCAGGTATGAAGGTTCAAGGGAAGCAGCCACCAGAAGTAAAGAGGGTGGCTGGCTATAGGCAACGCCCTTGGTAGAGACCCTTTAGAGAAGGGTCAGGGATGAATGCTCAGTGCCACTGTCCTGCCCTTCCTCTATTGCTGGTGCAAGCTGTAAGCAGGGGAGCTCTTTGAAGAAGTCACATGGCTACCCTGAAGGCCACAGTGTGAAGGGACCTAGATCTAGAGCTAACACAGATACAACACAGTTACCTACAGTAAGAGGCTTTACCTCTTATCCTAGCATAATCATTAACACTGTCCCATTTGACTACAGAAGGATCCCAATTGGATAGTAAATTATATGGTCCCCTGCCTGTGTTTGGATGGGCCAGGATGAGGAACAAGAGAGTTCTAGTCGACACTGTTGCCCTGGTACAGCTTCAGTTTCCCCATTTCAGTGTTGAGGTGGTTTTCACCTCATTGCAATCAGGTTTCTGTCTACTCTTTTCCCTGCTCCCATCTGAAGCCAATGCCTTCGAACCTCCTCATGCCCCTGGGGACTCCAGGAGGAGCCCGTTCCTGGTGCCCTCCCATATAACTTGAGACTGTCCTGCCCTTCATTCAGATACTGCAGATGTGGTATGACTTAGATGAGCAGAGCCGGCAGAAATACCAAAAGAAGACGGCCCCTTGTCTTGACCCTAGTCTGTCTGTGTGGCGCCCAGACATCTACTTTGCATCTGTGTCAGAAACATTTGAAAAAAAGGTTGATGACTACAGTCAAGAGTGGGCAGCTCAAGCAGAGAAGAGTTACAAGAAACCAGAGCTTTCTCTTGACAGGTGATGACATTGATTTGTTGCATGGTGTGAATGGAAGGTGACTGCCTGTCAGGCCCTGCCTGACTCATTCCAGAAGAGGGCAGCCTCTGGTGTGGAGACTTCAGCAGCAGGGAGGGACATGAGACACCAGGGAACAGTATAAGCCCTGTGGATGTTGAGGTAGATCAGAGGAGATAGACAGGAATGGATGCCCCTCATCATCCAACCTAGCTAGAAAGGCTCTGCTGGGACAGAGGCTTCAGGAGTAACCTCTCTCAGGAGTTTGGTGTGGTGGACATGGCTGAGAGTCAGGGAATCGATTTAGTCAGCATTCAGTGACTGTCCCAGGACACTGTGGCTCCACTCCTCACAAAGGCTTGGGATCCAGTGACTACTGTGATCCTTTGAGCTTTGGATTTTCAGGTTAAGGAAGAAGGACCATGTGGAGGCCTCTCAGCTTGGACTGATTCACCCCAAAAAAAAAAAAAGGAATGAAGCCCATAGTATGGGCAGGTGGGAAGCTAGGCATGATACCAACACCGTGGGTCAAGGTACCACAAGGGCCACCTAGGAATGCCTGCTTAGCTTCAGCCTTGGGTCCTATCCATGCAGCTCACCAAAGCTACAGAGCTAAAAACCTTGAGACTGTGCTATAGCATGGTCACCTATCTTACCTCCGGTGACACCAGGCGAGGTACACAGATGGTCTGACAGCTGGATGACGGAACAGTAGAAGCACATGAGTAAAGATGCACACCTGAGTAGAGGAACTGAAGGGGAAGCCAGGATTCTCTCTTTTTCCACCCTTTAACAAGGCTTCTCCAGCCAAGCCTGAGAGAGTCTCTCTGAAAGAGCAAAATCCTAACTCCTCAACGCCACCCCCCCACCACACACACCCCTACATTCTTGTAGCTCAGTAGACTGCATTTGCCTCCAGAAGGTCCCAGAAAAAACTTGCATAGAAATTTAGCTTTACAACTCCTCACAGTGGCATTGCCCTTCAACCAACGAGGTCATTCACACAGCTACATGTGTTGAGCCCCTTTGTTAATACAGTGTTTTGAAAGGGCCAGCTGTCACAGGAAGACTGGTTAGTACATTGCAGAATTATGCAGCATGGATACTTGTTGGAGTTTTTTGTTTGGTTTGTTTTTTTGAGACAGAATCTTGCTAGGTGGCCCAGCCTCCAGAGTGCTGGGATATGGGCACGTACCACTGCTCCTGGCTTGCGTGGATACATCTGATGTGGTCTACAGGCACTTTCAGTAACAAAGAAAACAAACACATCACAACTGCTTAGTGAACCTGAACCTCTTTCCAGTTTGTATAGCAGGAGGTTTAAGCTCTCTCCACACTGTCACAGCTAATGGGGGGAGGGGAAGATGCACAAAGGAGAATGTGAATAATGATACCAGAAATTCCCATTGCTCAGGGGGCCTGTAGTAACTGGCCCAGCACGGACACATGGTACTCTGGGCATAAATGTAAACTTCCAAAGAGGAATTTCTAGTGTTTCACCACCCAGCTGGGATCTATGCTGGGTAATGTTACGATGTCACAGGGTGACTCTCAGGAATCTGAAGATTACAGGGGCTCATTTGCCTAGGAGAAGCCAGCCTGTGATGACATAGGGGTTTTGAGTTTCTGGTTTCAGGTGGTATGGTAGAAGTCTGGTGTCTGCTTGTGATTCCCACTGCCTCCTGCTGTCTCCAGGCTGAGGACCTTGCTGCAGCTGAAGTGGCAACGCTCGCTGTGTGACCCAGGCGAAGCTGTGGGTCTGCTGGCTGCTCAGAGCATCGGGGAGCCCTCCACACAGATGACTCTGAACACCTTCCACTTTGCAGGCAGAGGAGAGATGAATGTTACCCTGGGCATTCCAAGGTGCGGAGCTGTCAGGGTACATGCATAGGATCTGCTCAAGCTCACCTGGGGAAGGACTCATTTAATGAGAGGCAGAGGGAGCATGTGAGTGAGACTGGGTCCATCAAAGTGCAGATCAGGGTTTGGAGTTGCAGAACCCACTTGGTTTCTGTGGTCTGATTAAAGCCCAGACCTTTAGGATCTCCATTATCCCTCTGCCAGCTCCTGTGTCAGAGTTACCAGGGGTGCTTATGAGACTACACACAGGCATTGTTACCATGTGGGGCCATCGGGATGACCAACTCCAGAGGTGCCATTCTTGTTGCTTTGGCCGTTTGAGTGTATGTATCAGGTAGGACTCTGATCCAGTGTACCTGCTGTGAGATCACAAAGCCTCTCACATCCCAGAACTCTGACATCTTTAGGAGAGGCTTCAGGTGAACTGGGGATCTGGTTACCTCTTAATGGTCAGGCGTGCACGTGTTCTGTGACAGGTTGAGGGAGATTCTCATGGTGGCCAGCGCCAACATCAAGACACCCATGATGAGTGTGCCTGTGCTCAATACCAAGAAAGCCCTGAAGAGGGTGAAGAGCCTGAAGAAGAAGCTCACCAGGGTGTGCCTAGGAGAGGTAACTGTCTCCCTTGTGCCTGGGCTGCACACTGAGTGGAGTGGGACTTTATGCCCTCCCATCCCTGCAGAGCAGACTTTGCTTACTGTTCAGATTCCTACCAGGGAGAGAAAAAATATCTCTGCCAGTTCCTGAGCAAGAATGGGTCAAAAAGCTCTTATCATTAGTTCTGCAGCGTCCTCGTGTGCCTAAAAAATGCAGTAAGAATGCATCCTGGGTTAGCTTACCAGCACTATAGGAACTCACTCCTACTAGGCTCAGACCACCCTCGAGGTGTTTTTGCAAGCTGTGCCTGCAGACAGAGCTCACTAAGCTTTCTTTGGAGTTTTGTCCTGTGGTACCTGGACGAGTCAGATTCTCTGTGTCCCTCTTGTAGGTGTTGCAGACAGTTGACGTCCAGGAGTCCTTCTGTATGGGAGAAAAACAGAACAAATTCCGGGTGTATGAGCTGAGGTTTCAGTTCCTGCCACGTGCATATTACCAGCAGGAGAAGTGCCTGAGACCTGAAGACATCCTTCACTTCATGGAAACAAGGTCAGGACTCAGGCAATGTTTGTCAATGCTCTTGACCCACAGAGCATTCCTAGCTATGGGGCTCCTAAAGACAGGTTATATTTGCCCAATGAGCCCTGCAAAGGAAGTGTTTGGGAAATAGACCCTGCAGTGTAACCCAGAAACCTCACCCCAGTCTGGCTGGTGGGTATGACCTTGTTAGCTGCACACCACTCTCTGAGTCTTTCCTCTCTTGGGTTGATGGGTCAAGATTGTTGTCACTTCGAGTGTTAGGATGTACAAGTGTGTGTACAATGAAGAGTAGGAAGCCCCATACTGGTAGTGCTCCTGCGATGTCAGCCCAGCACATGGTGTTAATGTTTGATGGGATATAATTCTGGGCAGCTATCTTTTTAATAGTGAGCAGTGACATGCTGCTTTTAAACCCCAGTTCTGTAACTGGGGTTACCTCCAGCTTCTTACAGTGAAATTCTGATTCCTGTCTGGTAAAGAGAATGAAATTCCTTTTTCTCTCAAGTTTAAGTTACTATTAGACATTTGAAAAGCATAAGCCATATTTGCTGAGTGTGCAGGGTAGAAGGTTGGGCTCTTTGGGACTGGAACAAGCAGGAAAGAGCCAACAAAGTACTTCTGACTTGCCCACTGTCCCTTATGATGACATGCAAACTCCAAAGGCTGCAGAGTGCAGCAGGCAGCAAAGGCTGGTGACGTGGGTGGGAGACTCCCAGCAGACTTGAAGAGTGGAACTTGTCTCAAAGAGTTGGCTATCACCATGTAGAAATATGGGCCAGAGTGGGTAGATCTTCTGATGTAAAACAAATAATAAAGCCTGCCTCCCTTTTTTTTTTTTTTTTTTTTTTTCTTTCTTTCTTTGGTTATCTGGTTGCATGTTTTGGTTTTAAAAAAAAAAAAAAAAAGCTGCCAATTTTTAAATACCAGCAACTAATTCATATACTTTTAAAAAGCCTTTGGTAGGCAAAGAGATCCCATTTGTTGGTAGGATTTGGCCACAGGTCACTGACCACTGTTTCTAATCTAGACTAGCTCCTAGGTCTTCCCAGAGCTGCTCAGATACAGAGAACTCATGGCAAATCAGAAGAAAGAGCCCCTCTTCCCTCAGCCATCCCACACCACCAACCCAGGCCTGTCCAGAGTCAGTAACTGGGGCAGCTGAGGCAAGTACTTATGCTCTCAGCCCTCTACTTTCCTGCTGTAAGGTCCGGCCTCTTAGCAGGTAGCCTTTAGGTTGGTGAGTAGTTCGGGATTTGAACTAAGCCCTTAGGACAGAAGGTATTCACCAGGTGGATCCTGCCCCAGGGTGACATGAGCCCTGGATGAGGTTGTTGCTAGCTGGGCCTTGGGGAGCACCTGCATCAGTGTCTGCCTGGGTTAAGAAGGTTTGTTCATCAGGTGGTCCTCCATGTGCTCTGGGACACTGGGCAAAGTGACAGGAGAGCCGTGTAGGCTGCAGCCTGCCAGCTCATTAATTAATAGAAAGGAGCATGACTCCCAAGTGCAGCGGATGTTTGTGCTGGCCTGGTGGCCCTCTTCTGAGAAGTGGGAATTAGGATCACATGGCCTCCCGAGAATGATGGAGTTGATGGCCTGCCCCATTTCTCTTTACCTGAGGCTCCAACTACAGAGCAGCTAGGTCACCATAAGGCACGTGCCAGACTGTGCTTATAGTTCTTTTCCTGACATTACCTCATGGAATTGAAAATAGTAAGTCACTTTTTAAGATTTTCATCTTGATAAGTGACAGCCCTGGCTTGTTCCCAGCAGTGAAGTACCTTTTCAACTCTTAGTTGTTTTGCTTGAACACTTGAAAAGCTTCGATAAACAAGGCCATGTGCATTCACTTCCGGCAGAGGCAGCCTTGATAACTTCAGTAGCAGGGCTCTTGAGGTCTCAGGCAAGGTAAAAGCAGAAGCAGGCTGTGAACTGACTGCACGTTGGAGTCACTGTGTCAGTCTGGGCAGAGACACAGCCCAAGGAAGTAGAAGGGCTCCGTGTGTACTTCCAAAAGAGCCATCCTCTGCTGAAATGGTTACTCTTTGCTCTTCTTCCCTGTCCCTCCTCTCTCTACCTCTTTCCTTTCTCTTCTTCCCTCCCCTCACTTTCTTCTCTTTCTTCCCTCCCAGCTAGGGAGAAACTCTTTTGGCATAGATTGGAGAAAAAAAGAATAGAGACAGGATGGAAATATATAGGCATGGACGAGACCCTACACTTCACTTTGAATATTTGTATGAATTATCTGGAAGGAGGGCTGGAGTGGTGAAGTGGAAAGAGACCTAAGCTAGAAGTCAGGGGGTGGGAGCTGTAGGTTCTGGCCTCCAGTCTTAGCTGTGGACTGGCCCAGTGGTCATCTCTATAGTTAGAGCATGTGTGAATCTGACTCTCCAAGCAGCAGGTAGTAAGAATGTTGCCAGGCACTTTCAGAAACAGCCAAGGACCATGTTCCTGGTTTGCAATTATTTATGTGGGATGGAAGGTTCCTCTGCCACCTACCTCTCCTGTACCCTTTTAGTTGCCACACTTTGATAAACAGTACAACCTTCAGAAAGCAGTTGCTGGAGGCTACCACTTCCTTTGCTCTTGGCAAAATCACAGAGGGACAAACTGTTTGCACCTCCAGGAAGATGCTCCAGGAGTCCTGGCTGTGAGATCAGGAAAGGCTTCTAGAGGGCCTACATCTACACTTAGACTCACCAGAGCTCCAAGAGGTAAAGGGGCTGGGGAAGTTGCTAGCAGTGGCTTGAACAAAGCCCCAAACGATGCCTGGGAGTGAGAGCAGACTGCCAGTGGGGTTGAGGGCAGTTGTGAATGTGGGGAGGAGCCTGGACTTTACCACAAACTAAGACAGGCCAGGATGCCTGATGAGATGGAATGGCAACCTCAGTAGAGGGAGGGTCATCTCTGCATAGTGCTTCATGTGTGGGGTGAGAGCAGTCCCGTTACAGACGAGATTGAGGCCCTCTTCTCCAGTCTGGCACAATGGAGACGTGAACCTGAGCCTGTCCTTTATAAAACATTTCTCCCACCCCTCCTAGTTGAATTGTATCTTTCTAAAGTTATACCCTGCCTCCTCTCAACTGTGACTCTCCTGTCCCTATCCCCAGTGTCTGGTGAACAAAGTTGTCACTGTATGACCTCTCAGTTGTCTTTAGGCCTCTCTGCCAAGGACTGGAACCGCAACAAAACTATATACCTCCTTAAAAAGTTTAAAAACAAAAAAAATTAGAAGAGAGAGAAGATGGCATTCTTTTTTTTAATGAGCAAAGCAGTAAACATTTGACCTGCCTGATTTCCAAATTAAGACACTAAGCTTCTTGAGACCCAGGAGCCTAACATGTCATCCTTGCATTACCCTCAGGGCTAGCCCAGGATAGACATAGGGGAGGCCTCAGAGAACACAGATGGATGGATGTAGGGAGGGCTGCACAAGGACCTGGTATTTTCTTCAGTTAAAAAAACCATCCAATTTGGTATGATGAAAAAAGGCAAGAGGTTATCTGAGAAAAGCAGCAGTGGGGAGAGGGCAGAATGGGGCCCTGAGAGACCCTAAAAGTAGATAACTGAGGAAGAAGGGACAAGAGACCAGGGAAACTCCCCCCATCCCCAGGTTCTGAGCTTCCACTGGGTTCTTTTGGGTTTTTGTTGTTGTTACTGTTTTGTGGTACCATGGCTTGAACTTAGGGCTTTTTGTGTTAGGTATTTTTCAAGATAGGATCTTGTGAACTATGTGCCCATGCTGGGCCCCCTGAGTAGCTAGGATTATAGGCATGAGCCACTAGCACCCAACAAATGTGATTTAATTCTAACCTATAAATAAGATTCATTGCCACAAAGAAACTTGCCATTGTCCTTTGATACTGTGAACTTTTTCAGTGGATAGGAAAGACTGGCCTCTGTCCAGTGTGTTAAATCTCCTAAGGGTTTCCTTTGGCAAGGAGCAGAGGAAAGCACAGGTTCTGATGGGGGTTGCATGGCTTTCCTCTTACCCAGATTCTTTAAACTCCTGATGGAGTCCATAAGAAAGAAGAGTAGTAAAGCATCAGCCTTCAGAAGCGTGAACACACGAAGAGCTACGCAGAAGGATCTCGATGATGCTGAGGAGTCAGGGAGGAGTCGGGTGAGTGAGTTCTGAGGATTCCTTGAGTCTGCACAGAGATGGCCTCAGGGCTGAGAAGCACATAGGGCTCATGTATGTCTTCTCCCTAGGGAGGACTTGGTGACTGTTCCTGGTGCTCTGCAGGCCCCTTCCTAGTGTTGGCTTGTCTCTCTACTTACCTCAGCATTTAGTTGCTGTTCTCAGAGAACCAGCAAGCCACATTTATTCTCAGGTGTGATGGGTGAGACCAGGGAGACTGCCAGACACCAGTGTCTAGTAGTCGACCCTGGACAGACTTCAGGTCTGTGTTCATTTTTTTTTGTGGTACTGGGGCCTTCACCTTGAGCCACTCCACCAGCCCTTTTTTCTGAAGGGTTTTTTTGAGATAGAGTCTCACAAACTATTTGCCTGGGTTGGCTTCAAACTCCAATCCTCCTGATGTCTGCCTCCTGAGTAGCTAGGATTACAGGTGTAGGCCACTGGTGCCTGGCTAGGTCTCTGTTCTTAAGGACCCCTCTAAGGTGCTTTCATCCATAAAGGCATGACCCGAGCCTTTGAAAGTTCCTTTTGTGGTTATGTTTTGCTCTGCATTTAACTTCCCAAGGCCAATGAACTGATGCCCACCAGAACACTGGCAGGGATCAGAGAGGTATTTTAAAACATGAAAGTTGAACCTCAGTGATGAAAAAGGAAGGATTAGGGAATAACCATTGACAAAGTAGTCCAGGAATAATGATGCCACCTCTGCCAGGAAAGCAAGAACAGACCAGACCTGAGAAAGTGTGGCAGGTCCCTGATGCTGGGAGCCAGTACTACTTTTTAGGTTGTCCTTTATAGGATAGTGTGCTGTGCTGATGCAGTGAGCCTGCTTGGGGTGGGGTGCCGCATGGACTGGAACTGCCCCACCTTGCTCTGTGGTCACCTTTTCCTTGTCTCTTCACCCCAAAATGACATGCCACCCTAGAGCAGAGATAATGCTAGATCCCTGTGTTCTGTGGTGTCACAGATGATTCATATCTCAGGCCTACAGTATGAACTGTCTTTGAAAATCTTCTTGTTCTTAATTCTATGAGAAACTAGGAGCCATGGTCAGGAGGAAGAAGATCTAATTATTTTTAAAATACTCAGTGTTATACCAAGACAAACCTTCCTCCCCATCCCCACCTGCAGTGTAGCTGATTAACAATATTTAGAACAATATTTTACACCATCTTCTTTTAAAGACTTGGTAAACCCTGGCACTTTTTTTTAGTGGGACTGGGATTTGAACAAAGGGCTTCACACTTGCAAAACAGGCACTCTACTACTTGAACCACATTTCCAGTCCATTTTGCTCTGGTTATTTTGGAGATGGGGACTCATGAACTATTTGCCCAGCCTGGCCTCAAACCATGATCTTTCTGATTTCAGTCTCCCAAGTAGGATTATAGGTGTGAGCCACTAGCAACCAAGCATTAAGCAGGTGCTCTATCACTGAACTACATTCTCAGCTCTCTCCCTTTTTTGGAGGGAGAAGGGGATGTTTTGTTTTTAAGGTTTAAACATGAAAGACTTTACAAGTGGTGCATATAAAGGTAAAGACTGAGAAGAATCAAAAGCTAGACAATGTGGATTCTGGGTATATAAGCCAGGTTGGATGGTAGGTAGATGGAGGGTCACTGATGGAAGGGTAAGCAGATCAGTGTTGGGAAGGTGGTAGGTGGACGTAATGGTGACTGGCTAGGTAAGAAGAGGGATGTGTGGGTAGATGGATGGATAGGTAAGTTGGTAGGAAGATAGATGAGTAAGTTGGTGGGCAGATAGATGGATTCACCAAGCACTGGAAATTGGAGCTAATCATTTTCTTCCTTGCCCCTAAACCACAGGGAGAACATGAAGGTGATGAGGAAGAGGAAGGGAACATTGTAGATGCTGAAGCCGAGGAGGGGGATGCTGATGCCTCTGACACCAAACGCAAGGAGAAGCAAGAGGAAGAGGTGAGAGGACTCTGCTGAAGTGAATGAGCTGTGGTCACAGCTGATTTTCCCCTAGTACATTGGCCATACCTCTGTTATCATCCTGGGAACTCAAAAAAATCTGAAGCAAGACCTGCCTACCCAGCATGCCTCTCAATTGAGTAAATGGAGTTTATAGGGCAAGAATTCTCAGGGCTGCCCTTCTGTTCAAGGTCTGGAGTTGTGTCTCAAGTAGTAGAGTGCACGCTTTGCAAGCCTAAAGTCCTGAGTTCCAACCCCAGCCTCACTAAAAGGAAAAAAGAAATTGACTTCCCCTCCTGTTCTAGCTAACCTTAGTTATGAATTAGACTCAAGGACCCCGAGAAGCCTCTGACAAGAAGTCAGGCTGCTTCTTGTTCCTACAACGAAAATGTGATCCCTCCCTCCCTTCCCCCCAAACCAGTCCCCTACTGTCATAATCCCTGCAAGAACAGGCAGGTTAGAAAGGCCGAGGGAATTCACAAGTAAGAGAGCTTGGGTGAGTAGAAGAGCTCCACTTCCAAGGAGTCAGACACATAAGGATGAGGGGTGGCAGGGGTGCCAAGGAGTGGAAGGTGGAAGGTAGCTGGGTCATAGTAGAGAAGCTAGGAATGTGGGGCAGGTGGAACTTGGGGGACCAGGCCAGGCATGGCCCTTGCAAGGGTGCTTGTTCCGTAGGCAAAGTCCAGGTGATTTTGGGGCCCTGAGTGACAGCCTGCATTCTCTTTCCTGCCAGGTGGATTATGAGAGTGAGGAAGAGGGGGAGGAGGAAGAAGAGGATGATGAGGATGCACAGGAGGAAGGAAACATCTGTGATGAAGGCACCCACCAGGCTCACAAACCAGATGAGGAGGTGGGCTCAGTCCCTGAGGAAGACTTGCCCCAGAAGCCTCGCCGTCACCATCCAGGGACCCAGGGAGCCGAGGCTGTGGAACGTCGAGTTCAGGCTGTTCGTGAAGCCCACTCGTTCATAGAAGATTATCAGTATGACACTGAGGAGAATCTGTGGTGCCAGGTCAGTGGCTACACAGCCAGGCCTAGGGCGTCATTCCAACTTGTTTAGTGTCCTTGAGGTAGGAACCTGCTTCAGAGCTCCCTAATAGCCACCAAGTAAGGCTGCCATGCTTCCTGTGCCTGCTCTTCTGTGCACAGGTCTGTGAGAGCTTGCTGGTCCCTTTTTAATCCCAGTAGCTTTCAGAATCTGTGATGGCTAGAGACCTTCTTCCCCAAAGCACAGCCTCATGCGTCCCACTTTGAAACCCCCTAATGAGCCAGTTCTCTTTGAGTACTCAGGAGTAGCATGTATGAGTCTCATTTGCCAGTCCTCATAGGTACTTTCCAACATGTCACATCATTTAATCGTCCGGACACAAACATGTTAATATATATCACAGTGGTAGAGGCTTCCTTCCTGCCAACAAGCAGGAACCTTGCCCCCTTGCTTCACACGTGTCTTCTGACCACCATTCTGGGGATTTCATGGTTCCCTTAGGGGCTGGATGGTTCCGATGCCTCTACATCTACACAGACTTAGTCTTTGTCTTCCCTTGGATCCAGTTCATTGCTTCCCAAATGGTCATGTAGATGGCAAAACTCACTGATGGGATCCCAGCACAGAACAAAGCACTGTGCTTGGTGGCCTCAGTAACATTTGTGACAATGCAGCTTTGCATTTCCACCTTGAATGTGGGTCAGCGAAGCTACCCAGTGTTCACTTCTCACCACCACCACCACACACACACACACACACACACACACACACACACACACACACACTCACTCACTCACTCACTCACTCACTCACTCACTCACTCACTACATCTCATGCGGCCAGGGTGTTACTGAGAGGGCTTTGAAAGTGCCAGCAGGCCCCTGCCCTATTCACAGGACTAGGAGTGGCATCTTCCCAGCTCAGCTCTCCCTCCTCTTGTAGGTGACAATGAAGCTCCCTCTGATGAAGATTAACTTCGACATGAGCTCCCTGGTCGTGTCCTTGGCTCACAGCACTGTCGTCTACACAACTAAGGGCATCACTCGGTGCCTCCTGAATGAAACTACCAACAGTAAGAATGAGAAGGAGCTTGTGCTAAACACAGAAGGAATCAATCTCCCAGAGCTATTCAAGTACGCCGAGGTACTTGTCACTTGCCAGCCTGTCTGCTGGCCTGCAATAGAGCCATAGTTCCGACCTCACATTGTCTCAGGACCTGGCTACTGGGAGCTGAGCCTCCAGCTGATTGAATCTGGTGCTTCCTCAGCCGTACATACTTCAAACCAAGTGTGTGTGCTCTGGCCCTCCCCCTAGGAGCCTATGGTGCCTGTTACGTTTGCAGTACAGATGCCTGCTGAACCTTAACCAAGAGTGTCCCAGATTCATTTAAGTACAATTTTTGTTCTTGAAATTAGGACCTCCTAGAGTAGAGTTGTTTGTTGCATTGCTGGCCTGGATGCTACTCACTTTATCTGGTAAAGGAGTCTCCTGTCCCACCTGCTCACCAGAATGTCCATTCTTTCCTCTAAGATGCTTTTAACCCCTGAGCACAAGGCTTTCCCCACAGGATACTCAGGAACTTGAGGTTCCCCCCCCCAGCCCATTCTCCCCTAGCCTGCATTAAGCTGACCAAGCCCCCCTGCTTCTCACTTCTGCCCCTTCTGAGAGTCAGCCTCCCATCTCCACAGGGCATGGGTAGGTTGTACTCACTTGTGGGCTTTGTTTCAACAAGGACCAGGCAGGCCACCTGGCTTCACTTGTCTCCTATAGAATGTGACTGTGGCTGGGGCAGTGCCCCATAGTGCCAATCCCCAAGGGCCTCTCAGGACAGCTCATTTGGAGCCCTTGACCCCTGGAGAAGTGTTTGAGGGTCTCTTCTGAAGGCACTCTGCTCACACTCCAGGGGAGCCTTCGTTCTAGTTGATAGGTCTGTATATTAAAATAATAAGGGCCAGGGGTATAGCTCAGTGGTATAGCACTTGCCTAGCATGTACAAGGCCCTGTGTTCAATCCCCAATACTGCAAGAAAAAAAGAAGAAGAATGAACAAAAAAATTACCTTATTCTGAATCTGAATCACCTCTTGACTCTGATCATGACAGCAAGACAGACCTAGAGGCCTGGCCTTCATGCTGTCAGCCCCTCTGCCAAAAGCTTTCCCTTTCATTAGTCCTGGACTGCCTCTCCACACTTTGTCATCGCCTGTTCTCAGTTGCCAGGCACTGGGAGAGAGACCATGTCAGGGGGATATTCGGATGGGAAGAGCTGAAGCTCAAGCTCCTAAGTCAGTGCCTCTGACTCCTGCACAGGTGCTGGACCTACGTCGTCTCTACACCAACGACATCCATGCCATGGCCAATACTTATGGCATTGAGGCCGCACTGCGTGTGATCGAGAAGGAAATCAAGGATGTGTTTGCTGTTTATGGTAAGAGGAGCACTGGCAGCTCCCAGAGGGCCCGGCCCTAGTTGGAGCACCAGGGTCAAGGCCGAGTCCACCCTACACCAGGGCAGGAACTAAGACGCAAGTGCAGTGAGTGTGTCTGTGCAACAGTGCAGTCTCTGAGAGTCCCCAGAAGTGAACAGGGCAGGGATAGGGTGGCAGCTCCACCCCTGAGACCACTTAGTGGTGTCTTAGCTGCCAGTCTTCTGGGAATCTCTCTTTTGATGACTTGGCACCATCCTGCCTTCAGGCTTCCAGATCCCCAGTGGATCCAGCACAGTTAGATTCTTGCTTCCGGTGCTGCTGGGTGGAAGTGGAAAGCAGAATACAGGGATTGGGGTAGTCCCCAGACAAGGGAGGGACCACAGGGTCTAGACCCTAAGACCATGAACTGACTGAGAGGTAGCCTGGCTTGTGTCAGGTGATGCTTCCCAATTGCCACCCTTGTCACTGTTCAACCTTCTTTATGTTTTGGCCCCCATGACAGGCATTGCAGTTGATCCTCGCCATCTCTCCTTGGTTGCTGATTACATGTGTTTCGAGGGTGTTTACAAGCCACTGAATCGCTTTGGAATTCGGTCTAGCTCCTCCCCTCTACAGCAGATGACATTTGAAACCAGCTTCCAGTTTCTGAAGCAGGCCACCATGATGGGTCAGTGTGGGGTGGATGCCTAGGCCTTCCCTTTCCTGACTCTGCCCTCAGCAAATAGCCTAGCCCATGGGGCATCTTTGCACAGCACCTTAATGCAAGTGAGAACTTAGAATCTGTGGTGGGCAGAGGGGGTTGGGGGGATTGTAGCAGACAGGAAGGCCGCCTCTGCATTCTAAAGGAAGAGGAAAAGGTCTTCCCCACTCTCAAATGCAAGAACAGTGTCTCAATGTGTAATCTCAGCCTCAGAGACTCAGGACCAGTCCTCCAGGCTTTCAAATGCCATCATATCACTTCATTGCTGAGCCTCCCCGTCCCCTCATGTCACCCCACTTCAACTTCAACCCCCTGACGCAGGCTCTTGTGTCTCTTACAGGATCCCACGATGAGCTGAGGTCCCCATCAGCCTGCCTCGTTGTGGGAAAGGTCGTCAAAGGCGGGACAGGGCTGTTCGAACTCAAGCAGCCCCTGAGATAGCAGCCTGCACAGCACTGTTTGCCCAACCTGGAGGACCTGGGTGGCAGTGTGACTGGCTAGTTCTCCACATGAGTGGACCAGAAGGCTAGACTCCAAGGCATTTCAGAGCACTTCAGTGGCCTTGGGCTCCAAAAGGAGCTATCCTCTGGACCAAGCTAGCTTCACCCAGAAAAGGGCCATGTTGCTCATCCTTACCCTCCCTATCTCAGGATAAGTGACGAGATTCCCCAAGTCCTCCAAGTCCCTCTGAGATGGCTTCACTTGTGCTACAAGAGATCTTGGTGGCAAATCCCTAGCAAGAATTCCCAGGGCTGTTCACTGGGAAGACCAGGGCAAGTAGTGTTTTGCTGAGGGGACTCTAGGCATCTCCATGGCAGGGAAGTGAGATCGCATTGTTGTGAGTGATCAGTGGCTTCAGGTGGGATTCCTGGAGGTTCCTGATGGACAGAAATGTGGAACCTGCTACACCATGGCCTGCCCCTCCCCATCCCAGCCCCTGGAAGCACAAGAGTCCCAGTTCAGTGCCTCTTCCCTGGGCTAAGGGCAGGATGGCACAATCCTCCATTTACCAATTCCTGTGCCTGGGGTGGGGCCCTGGCCCTGCTACCATATGGCTGCCAGGCTGGCCCCAAGGCCAAGGGCAGTCTCTCCAGGGCCCCAGCAGCTCACTCCCTCACAGAAACCTCAAGTTCCCCACTAAGGCCACTGATCCAAGTTGCTTGGCTTTCCCAGCTCTCAGCTTGGTATCAAGGCCAGTGGCTCCCTCCAGGTCCTGTGCTGTCTGGGATCCTCCAGGTTCCTTCTCACAGCATAGCAGCAAGGTGCCCTAGCTTGGACAGAAAAAGCTAAGAGGACTTGTACAGAGGCTTTGTAAAACTAGAGCTGTTTCTATTTTTATCTAATGTTATTCCAACTCAGGCTGAGTAATAAACATCACTGGACTAGCTGTTAGGAGAAAAAAAAAAAAAAACTTGGATTTTAAAGTTTTTTCCTTGGTTTATAGTTTCTGAATTTGCAGTTGAGAACCCAGGACTGGGATTTTCTTGGCACAGTCAGATCCTCTTTCTGGTCCTCTTCCTGCTTTTATCTTACAATGGGGAGGGGGCTAATCCTGACCCCTACTGCCTCCTCCACCTCAGATTCTAGACTGCTGGAGAGCAGTGTCCCCTTCCAGCTCTGGTCCTGTGGGCAAAAGCCTGTGGGAAGGAGCTGGACCAACATTGGTAGGGTTAAAGGTCAGCCTTGCCACGGGTAAGGACTGCTGCTCCCTCCAGGCATGTGAGGAAACCCCAGCCTGTGCCTCCTGTGCCCATACAGAAACCAGTGCCCCAAGATAGGTTGCCATGTTCAGCAGAGCTTGGTCATAGAGGAATGTGATGGCTTTCAAGGGAGGTAGGAAGAAAGGGTCCAGGTAGAACCTGCCCTGAGGGCCCAGTCTGCAGAGTAAGACACTTACTCTTTCAATTAAAAGGCATTTTCACTACTCAGTGATTTCCATCCGTAGTAGAATTGTGAAAGATGATCTTCAAACTGGTGGCCGGGACAACTAGAGGAGAATGAATGTTTGGCCTCATGGTTCCATGGGGTTGGCTACACCCTCTCACTGAGGGACCAAGGTGAGAAAGCCAGCCCACAATAGCGACAGGGCTGTGGACTGCCCACAACTACATCAAACCCCTGACCTATGCTGAGACGGGAGGTGATAGCCTCCTCGCCTCACCTGTCCATGCAGCTCTGTTTTATACCTGTCTCCCTTCCAGTGGATATGTAGAAAACAGCACACCTGGCTTTTTGAAACAGTTGTTTCAGAGCCAGCACATCTTGATGAGCGAGGACTCTCACTGTGGTCCCCTAACTGGATTACTCGCTCACTTCAGGGTTCTCTTGGTTTCAGAAGCCTCTGGATAAGCCAATGTAGTCTTTGGGTTTTCTCAGGATTGCAAATGCTCTTTCTCTGAGCATGCGTATGAGTTTTGCAAGAACCATAGTAGGCACAAGCCAAACTTGATATAAGGACAGAGGGTCAAGCTGCAAAATCACTTTTTAATCAAAACAGAATGAAGATTGTCTAGTGGGATTTACAAACTTTCCATAGAAGTTCTTTCAGAACCCTGGGGTGTTAGCCAAATGTCTTTCTTGCTTGCTTATAATGTTTTTCTTAATCCCTCCTTTCTGAGTTCTCACCAGAATCACTACCAGCAACCCTACAAATGCTCCCATGAATCTTTGCGATATCTTGTGTCATGAACCAGGTAGGAACAAAACAGGAATGGATGAAGCACTTTGTCCCATTCTCAGTCTGAAGCTTGAACCTTCCTTTCATGTCTTTGTCCATTTTGTGTTGCCATAACAAAGTTCCTGAGGCTGGAAACTTTATAAAGAAAAGAGGTTTACTTACACTACTGGAGGTTCAAGAGCAGGGTATCAACATCTGGTTGGCTCTGGTTAAGGCTTCATGGCATGTGATATCACAATGATGGGAGCGTGTGCAAGAGTGACAGCAGTGCCTGTGGAAAGAGGATTCAGAGGAGTCACCAGGCTCTCATAACAACCTATTCTCTTCCAAACTAATCCAGTCAATCCAATGAGACCTACATCAGTCAGTCCTTCCAAGGGTGGTGCTCCCAAGACCTGTCACTTCCATTTGGCCCTACCTCTTAACACGTGAACCTCTGGGGAACAAACCATAGCACCTTCCCTGGGCCCTTCCCCCAAATCTGTATATGTCTACCCATTGAGCACTAAACTCCCCACTCCTTCCTCCCCTCAGCTGTTGGCAACTATCATTCTTCTTTCCCTCCCTATAAATTTGACTTCTCCAGATTCCTCCTTAAATGGAAGCACACAGGATTTGTCTTTTCCTTACTAGCTTGTTTCACTTAGCACGTCCTCAAGGTTAACTGACATAATAGCATATATCAGGATTCTTGCCTTTTAAAGACTGAGCAACAGCCCACAGTGTGGATATCTCCCATGTTCCATTTAGTCATCTATTGGACACTTGAGATGCTTCCAACCTTTTGCTATTATAAAAAAGGTGCTATGAACATAGGTATCCATGTATCTCTCAGAGACCCTGCCTTCCTTTGGATAGCTATTTAGCTGGATGGTATATGATATATTTTTAATTTCTTGAGGAGCCTCTGTTCTCTTTTTCATAGTAGGTGCATCACTTCACATTCTCGCCAACACTGCACAGAGTTCCAATCCCTTTTTTTGTTTTTGAAACAGGGTCTCAGTGTATAGTCTAGGCTGCCCTGAAAATCACAAGGCAGCTCAGGCTGGCCTCAAATTCGTAATCCTCTTGTCTCAGCTTCCCAAGTTCTGGGGTTATAGGTGTGTACCACCACACAAGTTGTTTTGGTTTTTTTTCCCCTAGTAGTAGCCTTATAATGGGTGTGAAGTGATTTCTCATCTATGGTTTGATTCGGGCTGTATTTTAGTCAAATGTGGGGCCTTTAGGTAGTTTATACTTACCATCCCAGGTTAAAAAACACTTGTGAAGTATCTGTTGCTTGCCATTCTTTAATTTTTGAGTTTAGGATTGAGTGAGGGACTATAGGAGTCCAGAAAATGCTCTCAACTATCAGGCACCGATGGCTCACGCCTGTAATCCTAGCTACTTGAGAGGCAAAAATCAGGGAGATCGAGGTTTGAGGCCAGTTCAGTCAAATAGTTCATGAGACCCTATCTCAAAAATGTCCAATACCAAACAGGGCTGGTGGAGTGGCCCAAGTAGTAGAGAACCTGCCTAGCAAGTGTGAGGCTGAGCTTAAACCCTAATACTACAAAAAAAAAAAAAATGCTCTTGAGTAGGAGAGATTGGTCCCTAAGTCTTGATAGGAGAATGCTCATCCTTCAGCAGTGCCACTTCACACTCCCCAGTGAAGGAGCCTACCACAGGTCTAACCCTCATGCAATTTTACTTAAGTCACAATCATAATGACCAAAAATTTCAAAATTTCTACCCCATCAACCCCTACCCACTTGCCTTTTTGCCCAAGTCCCCTTAGGTCAGAGGCTATTGGTTCTGCACTTTGGAACCACGTAGGGACCTTTTCAAAAGTCCAGTTCCAGTGCCACACCAAACGATTCTGATGTAATTGGCCTGGGGTGTGGCCTGGGTATCAAAGATCTTTAGAAGAATCTCCATGCAGCATAATCAAGGACCACAGACTTCAGCCTTAAATTGTGGAAATTTACAGCCACCGTTTCACCTGTCATTTGATGACTTTTCAGAGACTGAGTCACTGGCCATAGGTTTCTGCAGTAAACTGTTTAACAGCTGATCCTTGTCCTCAGAGCATGTGTGTGTGTAAACTCTTGTGGTATCCTGTAGGTGCCTGCAAGGATTGTATAGCAGGATTCAAAGGAAGCCACTATTTTGCCTGACAAAAGATAGGTGCCTTGCTTCCAGCGGGATCCAGGAGGCCAGGGAGGCTAGCTGTGCAGCTTAAAGGTTCCTGCCACTAGGACACCAGCAAGACCAGTAGGAAACGCTTGACCAGCAAGTATTCTTCACAGCAGCTCCATGAGGAGCTTCCATGTGAAAAGTTAAACCAGTTTGGCCATCTAATGAGACCAGACCTTCAGTTCTGTCCTCCCGTGAGTGGTGACAAGGGAGTTGGATTCTCAGAACTCCTTAGAGCACTCAAGTTGTCACAGCCACAGATGTCACTGGAGCTGCTCGGGTGACTCCTCGAGCAAGGGTAGGATCAAGGTAGTTGTGTGCTTCATGGTACCTTCTGCCATTTTTTCCCACAGTTCTCCCCGATCCCACATTCATCTTATATTAGCGTCCAGGGGCAAACCATGTGGACCCTGCCCGTGCGGAGCTTGTAGTCTGGTGCCCCAGACTAGATTATCAGGCCAAAGGTTGAGGTACCCAGTAGGTATCTTGAGAATATGAACAGCAGACCCTCCAGGTAACACTTTTCTTTGTGGGAAGAAAAGTGAAGAGGCACCTGGATGCTCAAAGGCCAGAAGAAAAAATGTCAGGAGTCCAGTCATGACTCCTCCACCTTATGTCTCGCTCCCACCCTGTTTGCTCAGCCTTCACCCTTCATGGGGAAGAAGCTTGTCTGTGGTCACACCTTTCCATCTCTCTAGTGAGTGAGTTCTGAGTGAGGAAGTCCTGGTGGCCCTGCCAGACTCTGCCTTCTAGATTGACTGCCTGCTGTCATAGGAGCTAAGCTAGCCTTGGGACATGGCCTCACTTGTGACAGAGTTCCAGACACCACAGGCATCATCTGGACCACAATAAACACTCCTCTGCCTATGATTCTTGCATAAAGGGTAAACCTGATGTTGAGTCCATTCAGCCAGTCAGACCTGAAGAATGGGTTGCACACCAGCACCAGCAAGACGCTGGCCTCCAAGGTCAGGCTCTCCCTGAAATCACAGGCCGTCACCTTCCAATGTGGCCCTAAAAAAGCTACTTGGTCTCTGTACCTGGATTCCCTTATGTGTAGAATCAAGGTGAAAGTAAAATAAGTGTTCATAAAGTTACACAACTGTGCGTGTTTACCTATAATACTACGTGAGTCTCAGCTAGAGGCAATTTGCCCCCCACCCCAAAGGACATTTGTCAGTATCTGTTGACATTTTTGGCTGTCACAATTGGAAGAAGGTGCTACTCCATCTGGGTGGAGGCCAGGGATGCCACTGAACCTACAATGCATCGGACAGGCTCCACAAAAAGAGCTGTCCAGCCCCAAATGTTAGTAGTGCCAAGCTGAGAAAAACGGAATCATTTACATTTTAATCACTCTGATAGGTAAAATGGTGCCATCTCATTACTGAAATTTGCAATTCCCTATGAATAAAGCTAAATATCTTCATACTTACTGGTTTTTCTTCTGCACTTGTGAGAATTGTCTATTTGTATCCTTTGCCCATTTTTCTATCGGACTGTTGTTTTTACTGTTGATGTTAAAGAATTGATACTTATTACAGAGAGAATGTCATCTACATCAAGGACTTTTCTCCCAAACCATTAAACGAGTGAACTAACACAGATGAAGAATTTGGTACAGAATCCACACCATGATAAACCTTCAATAAGGAGGTCAGCTCTGAGCCGGATGTGGCAAGGTGCATCTGTAGTACCAACTACCTGGGGAGGCTCAATCCAGAGGATTGTTTGAGGGCAGGAGTTCAAGGACAGCCTGGGCAACATAGATTCTAGCTCAAAACACAAAATGAGAGGACTCAGCTCTTGAACTTCAGTTAAGGCTGCTGGAGCATTTCCTGAGGTACAACAGATAGTGAGGAACTAATAATAAGACTATACTTATGATGACATCCAGGTGTACTGGAGAGACAATGTTAAGAATGGAAGATTACCAGAAGTCAGGACAAAATGAAGCCAGTCCTGCCCTCTTCTGGGCTTCTCCTGAGCCCTATAACAGATACAGGAGCAGACCTTTACCTGGGGCTTGCCATGAGTGGTGCCAGCTAAGCTCTTCTCACATGCTAACTCACCCAGCCCAGTGATGGTGTTCCATTACTCTCTCTGCTTATAGCAGCTTGCTCAAGGACACAATCAAGCAGGTAGCGGAATGAGAATCCGAAACCAAGCAGCTGGCCAGGGACTGGGCTCTTACTCTCCTCCCTGCGTCCTCCCCATTTGCTTGGGCAGAGGCTTGTCATCATCAGGGTCCGCCCTACATGGGGTACAGCAGTAATGAGGGCACCAAATAACCCCTACCATGGGCCAAGGATATGTTTCTGGAAGGTTCAGACAGGACCTCTGAGGGGGCGGGATACATACATGTTGCTCTGCCTAGTTGGGGACCTGGTGGCTCTCAGATGAAATTGGAACAAATAAGTGACCTTAGAGAACTCAGAACCCAAGGTACAGTCCAAATCAATAAAAAGTAGATTTTGAAGACTTTGAGAAGAATGTCACCAAGAGGTTACTCAGGAATCTCCCATCCTTGAGGCCTCACTGTTGTGGGCACTTGGGTGTGGACTGCCCCACTTAGAGAGGATTTCTGTGATACTGTCTTATCCAGTCCCTGCAGCCCTGTGGCACTGGCCTATTGGCCCCATTTCACGGTTGGAGAACTAGATCTACAGGAGGTGAAAGTGACGCCCCATAGTTGGCTCATGTCCTAGTGAAGACCTGGTCCTGGTACCCCTCTTGGAGTACCTCCTGACTGTCATCGGCCACCTCCTGACCCTGTCATCAGGCAATGACTGAGGCAGGGTGACAACTCCTAGGTTCTTTGGTCAGCATGGCTAGCGATCTCTGAAGATAGAAAAGGAGCCCAAAGGAGTGAGGTACAGGTCAGTGAGGGAAGGAAAAGAAGGGCCACAGAAGTATGGCAGGTGACTCTACAGGAAGGTGGACTGTGGTGCTCATCTTGGGTGGTGGGTAGAGTGTTAAAAAGGGAATTTTAACAACAGGTATGGCGAAGGCCAAGGTCTGGGCACTCCCAGTGCCCACAGGCCATCTGCCTGCTCACTCTACTTGAACTGCGGACCAGCCCTGCCTCTGGAGGTCTGGTACAGCAAGTATACATGCCATGCCACAGACCAGCTTCTCACCCAGCTTCCTGCTGCCTCGGGATCACCCAACCCTTGGGGAAGAACTCCTGGGGCTTTGCCCTGGCCTTTCCTGCTCTACCCTTGCCCCACTGGACACTTCTCAGCCAGTGCCTTGTATGGTCTTGGGTGTTGTGTTCCTTGAAACCAGTATTAGTGGCAGGGACATCCTGGGGCAGTTTTGTGTTAGAAGGACCAAAGGCGGGTGAGCACATCTGGCTGGATGATGAAAGACTTCCAGGTGAGTAGGTGCAGCGGGGTGTGGGAATGTTCAAGACGGTGCACCCTGTCTGCATGAAGTGGCAGATGCGCAGGGAGACCACATCAGTACAGGTTGTTAGGGCTAGACTGGACAGGGACAAGACCTCAAGAGAAGCCTG